TTAGGTTCGGCTCATGTGGAGTACGACGTTTGACCCGGGCCTAAGTCCATGTTGTTCCACAATTAGATTAAATGAATGAATAAATGAATGAAAGACTTTATTATAGTGTCAATAGTATTTAGCTTAAAAAACAACTAATTGGGGACACTATTTACAATTTAATGAATCATGTATAAAATAAGAAAAAAATAAGTAAATGAAATATATGAACTTAGTAAGATTTAAAAAGCTTAAAAATATCAAATATATATAAAATGTAAAATTTAAAACGGCCTAGCAACATATATCACAGTTCTTACAATTATCTATTAAGTGTTATAGGTCCTTACTCTTAATACTGTTTTTAAAACTCCTAACATTAGGCTTCTCTCTATCAGTTTTGTCGAATTTGCTCCAACGATGGGGCCCAAAATATCGTAAATATCGTATCAGATTGCTGATATCTCTTCAGTTTTCCGGAGGCACTCGCTCGTTCTCGACCAATATTTTCACTTGAATAAGCTAGTTCACACTACTGCAATGACGTGTTTCTAAACCACAAGTAACGTCCCTTACGGGCTTCCTATCTTCTTTAGAGTTTTTGTTTTAATGGTAATTTGCCCTCATGCAAAATAGTGTCGGGACATCGAAGTTTTCATGATTACTGATTCCTAACACGTTTTCACATTTTCTTTGATCGCACAGGTATCAATTAAAAAAGTCGTTCAGGTAAATTAAATTTGAGCTTAGTGGCTCATTAGGCCGACGTTTATCTCCGGTTCAAGTTGAATAACGCGAGCGAAAAACAACGACAAGAGAACTAATGCATTCAAATAAAAGAACTTATTTTGTTTAAAAAGGACTCTTATCACTAGCTTTGGATTATGCATGATCCTATGCATTGTTAAATTGGAAATTTGGAAGTCGGAGTAGCTACAAAACGTATGTGCGACGGAAAAGCTGCCAATATCTGCCATGATATTGAAGTTATTTTCCAGATCATTAACTCATGTCATCACGTCACTTTAAAGAAAACGGAATATCTGATGTAAAACTAGTGCCAAATATCACAGTCAAGTTGAGCATTCTAGTTGGCGGTACACAGCTAGATAACCCAGAACTGCTAAAATGGCTGCTGTCGTAGGCCACTTCGGCTTCTGGAACATGACAAGCGAACAAGCTTTACAAGAAGCATGGCTGGGCCTAGAAAACGTCAGGCCACTCTCAGCGATAAGTGCTGTTCTATCGATAGTAATGTCACCAGTAATCGTGTTTGGGAATGTATTCGTCTTGTTCGCAGTTTGGAAAGATCCTCTCAAGAAACTTCGATCATCGCCTTCCAACTTCATTTTAACGTCCATGGCCGTCGCGGATCTACTCGTTGGCTTAGTAGTTTGTCCAATAACTGCCTACTGGGGTTGGGTGATTTGTCTCGAAGAAAAATCGCCTTTTGATCTTTCTGTGATTTTTGCCATCAATGTCGTCTCGGTCAACGTGAGTTTTGGCCATATGTTCCTGTTGACAGTGGATAGAGTTTTCGCTGTGACGACTCCACTTCACTATCGTGTCTAAGTTACAACTAGAAGAGTGCTCGTCGCTAATTGTGTTTGCTGGATCTATTTCTTTGCATTTGGATGCGCATTTCTTATGTTGCGGGACTACTTTGTCATTATGGGAGCTGTCTACAACGTACAACTTCTTTCCATTCTTTTAAGTATGTTAACCATGTACATCTATATCATGCTTCGCTTTCACAGATATTCCAGGAGAATGGCGAAAGAACCGCAATTATCAAATGATCGCCAAATCATCCTTCAAAGAGAAAGAAATCTTTTCAAGGCCATCAGCATTGTCATTTGTGCATTTCTCATCTGCTACATGCCGTGGTTTATCGTTCAAATGTTGATATACGTTTGCACACCATGCCATCCGAACTTATCATTACTTATGATATCTTTTGGATTTTCAGGCAGTTTAACGTACGCGAACTCGGGTTTAAACCCACTTTTGTATGCATGGCGACTTCCAAAATATAAAGAGACATTCAAGTACTTCTGGAGGAAAACAGCCAAAAGCATCCATCGTAAATGAAGATGGCGAGGAAACTAACTTGCGCAGGATTAAGTTATAAGTTATATTAGTTTCAACTGCTAACATTTTTAAGGCCAGAGTGGTGCTCTCGATATCGAAAAAAACCGAATTGAATTCAATTGCCTAATATTCCTATTGAATGAGTGTAACTCTCAATATGTTCGTAGTTGTACTTGGCTCTTTGGCTCATGTGGCCAGTAGGTTATCGGTGTTCTAGGAGCATGTGTTACGCAAAATATTGATCACTAAGGCCCCGTACACAATACGACGGAGAAATTTGAAAACGGAACAATCACCGGTCATTTTGTGGAGTTTTGTTTGAGGAGGACTTGGGTATTGAAATCACATGATTATCGTGACGTCATCGTTTTCGAAAAACTCCTTTTTCAAAATGTATTTCGTCTACACTGAAACGCAAATTCCTCAGGTTCGAAGAGCGTTTTCGAAAAGCTCCGTTACAGTGACGGATTAGTATGGACGGTTAGGCCTAGCCGGAGAAATAAAGGTGTCTTTTCATATTTCTCCGGCCTAGTGTGGACGGGGCCTAAGCTTTTCCCTCGCTCCATACTTCACCCAGACCAAACACAATGTTGTGCTCGTAGATCGTGACTGGAAATTCGCTTGCAAATTCTTCTGACATAAACTAAAGTTCATTCGGAGTCTTCAAATTGAAACCATGGCACTGGACCACCGGAGAAGGCCATCAGCATTGTCATTTGTACATTTCTCATCTGCTCCATGCCTCTATCGTTCATATGTTGATATACGTTTGTCGACCATGCCATCCGAATTTATCACTACTTATGCATGAGGTTTCTGGAAATTCCACGCAGTTTAATGTGTGTCAACTCGGGTTAAAACCCAGTTTTGAAAGTTTCACGATATAGAGACATTCAAGTTCTTCTCGAATCAAATAACCAAAAGCCTTCAGCAAACCTGATGTTTGAGTACAATTCTGTAAGAGCAAATTTAGCTACTTAAATATTCAGGGCCGGAGTGCGTCTTTTGACGTAAGAAAATAATTGTAATTGTCAAGTTTTGGAATTACTCATTGTGACTTATAATTTTGAAAATCTCGTTCATGTGAGGATCGGAGCCGGCAATGTTGAGAATGGCACTTCTTTCTCTCTCTAGTTCAACCGTAACCAAAACACCAAACAGTACTCGGAGATCGTAAATAAATATACCTGCGAAGAGGAACCCTAAATTCTAACTTCAAGGAAGTTTTCTTGGCCTCACCCCGGCTTGACACCCGTTTTGTTATTTAAATATAGTGTAAATTTAGGTATTTTCACAGATGATGATGTATATTCACAGATGTTCATACGGGTTAATACGGAGAAAAAAAAATCACGTTTTAATTAAACGTCTTTGACAATATAGATTCATTAAGACAACCATGCAATACATACGACAGTAAAGTCTTGAAAAGCAATCTAAACAAATAAACTAATTAATTTGGAAAATAACCTTCAAAATTATTAACTACTGCTAGAGAACCTGCTCATTTCAGGAGAACGTCAGAAGTTTGGTCTGTGAAAACAGATTAGTCGGTTTCTCTGTGAGATTATTTGCTGTAATACTCCTATAATGTTTGTCAACAGTACTTGGTCACTTTCAGATCCATCTAATGTTATTAGAATCAACTCATTCAGTTCGAGGTCTACTCGTCTGTTTATGTCGTGAATAAGGCGTTTGTGAAGTGCCAGTAGTTATTAACATCTGTTGAGTGGCGTTTGTTCCAAGCGATTTGGTGCGCCAGCTTTTTAGAGTCAGCCGTTAATCATCTCTGTTGCTTGTAAGTCGATGTTGTTCACCGATTAACTAGTTGAAATCTCTTATTTTTCCGGAGGCACTCAATCGTTCTCGACCAATATCTTCACTTCAATAAGACATGAATAACATATTTTTGAACAACAAGTAACATCCCTTACGTGCTTCCTACCTTCTTTGGAGTTTTTGTTTTGATAATAATTTCCGCTGACGCAAAATAGTGTGGGCACGTGAAAGCCTTTATAATTCCTAATTCCTAATAGGTTTTCACATCTTCTTTGATCGTACACTTACCACTAAAAAGTGGTTCAGTTAAATTAAATAACGTAAGCTTAATTGCTGAAAGGTCTGCATTCGAGCAGTGACTCATCAGGTCAGCGCTTATCTCCCGATTGAAGTGAATAAAGCGGGCAAAAAAAAAAAAAAAAAAAGGAAAAACGAGAATTAATGCATTTAAATGAAAAAAGGACCCTTCCATTTGTTTTTAATGTTTGTTTGCAGAAAATACCCNCCCCCCCCCAATACTACGCGCGCTGATTAGTTAAAACAACGTGTCTTTAACTCGATAGAAACACCGAAAAGTTGTCGTGGTCCCGTTTTTCGTTATTTTCTCTCGTTTCTTTTCTAAAGAAAGATGTAAAACATTTTCTTGGTTATTCTATCGAATGATAGAAACATGTAGCTTGAACAGTTATCCCTCAATTCGACATGCAGTTGAATATTGTTTCCAAAAAGAGAATATTCTACTCTTTATTTATTTTGTTCCTTACCCTCGCCTTTTCAAAAACTTCTCACTTTCCATGGAAATTGACCCTTTTAGTTGGAAGTTATCAGGGTTCTTTATGATTTTTATCGGTAAAATAGAGTGACGGATGAAGTTGAATATAGAAGAGCTCTCCGGTTTGGTAGCCTAGGTTGCAAGCCCGCGCGTGCAGGTATGAGCAACACGTCATTCAAAGTTAAGTCGCTTGAATTTCCAGTTTGCTTGCACAAATAGAACAGGTTAAATTAGCAATGATAAATGATAAAGCTATAGGAAGGAAGGAAAAGCGATCGAAGCGCGGTTTCGTAACTTTCTTTGCGACTTTTATCTCGCATCTGAATGGTGGCTTCACAATCGACATGTCAAAATCAAAGTGTTCACGGCTTTTTGACTAAAGAGGACTTAGTATGTAATATCGGAGTCAAGTTTAACGTTTCAGTTACGTACAGTTAGGTTAGTTTAACAGCCAGGCCCAAGATAGAAAGCTAAATGTAGGGCTTGAGCTCACAGACTTAAAGCCTGCCAGCAAGAGCATCCATAAATTGTTACTGAAGTCCAGCGACCAAGACGCTGAAGATTCCTCTCCGAAACACCAGAGCTAGCAGTCAAAGTAGCTCCACCCGTCCTAGCTGAAAGAGTAATAAAGTACATTATTCGCAAAAGACTTTCTAAAATACCGTATCACAATACCAAAAAAACAAAACAAAACACACATGCTATTTTCATAGACATACCCCTATAGGGTGTTTGCACGTTGGCAACATGATATACCCCTCTAGGGTATAGAGTACTTGAAATAAAGCGCCCCTCTAGGGCCTTTCCTAGATGCCTCTCTAAGGCATAGCACGTTTAACTTGATATATATCGGCTAACTTTTAGTAAGTACTCCAAACAAATACGCCTTTCTGGTACCGAGTGATAAGAGATGAGACCTCTAGTCTGAGTGGAATCAAAAACAAGGAACGAGAAAGCTTTTACCAGATATCTCGGGATCTAATCTGGAGATGATGCTAAAGTCAAGACGTAGAGACAATGAAACGAATGCTAGTGACTTGCCACCAAAAATAATGTTCTTAGCTTTTCCTCTAATGAATAAATTAGGAACGTTAGGCAGGATAACCCAGTCGTGGATAAATGTACTCCAATGGAGACCATATGCATCCGAACACAAGGGGAACGTTCAGTTCCTTGAGCGCTGCAAGGCTCCATATCCTTGATAACTTTACAAGTTGAATACACAGGGAACTACAGGCGGGCGCAGCCAGTTATTGTGATGAGACCAATCCTGAGAGAAAGCATTAACGCCACTGACACCGGGCTGGTAAAACCTTGCATTGAATCAAAGCACTGGATTATTAGTCCATCAGCTGAGGTGGTTGTATGGCTCACTCAAGGGGAACAAACGAAACTTGTATATTCTTAACCTTTGACTATTGAGCATCATAAAAATACATGATAGCAAGGATAGAACGGTAGCTTTCACTTTGTAAATCGAATTTTAAATTTACCCCCAATACCCTCCTTTTGGTCGCCATCTTGGAATTCGAATGTTATTTTCTTATATGTTTCTTTTCTTAAAGGCACACGTTATTTTGCCTGGGCGTACATTTGGACTA